CACCGTCACCCAGCCAGTGCCATTACTACAGTGTCAATGTACAGTATTTATCATTGATCACTGTTATTAGCATCTCTAGCAGCATCAGATAGCATCAGAGTCAGTTAGCATCTCTACCAGCCAGCATTAGTTAGTGCTAGATTGTCCATCACACTATCGCAGTGACACTATAAGTTGTTGATCACCACCATTGCTAGTGTCTGTACAGATCAGTATCTTTATCACAAATAGAACTATACTAGTGTCCCCAATAGTATAGTGTCCACAAAAATGCAGCGTTAGCAGGATCAACCCTAATCACTGCCAGCACTTGCATGCAGCCCCCCCTGCCCCCCAAGTGCAGTGTCAGTATAATTTTTCTGATCACTGCCACCTCTGATACATTGTACACAAAATCACAGGCCTGATCTTTGCTAGCACTACCGTTAATTCTATTGCTGGCACAGAAGCAGTCCTTGACTGCTAGCCAGGAGCTATTTTTCCCCATAGTTGCCACTAGGTACCTGTACATTTAGTGCCCATAATGTCCCACAAAAAGGTACACTAGTGAGGAGGCCTACAGGTTTCTGAGCATGTCAGATGAGAGCGAAGAGGAAGCCTCACTGTCAAAATCTGGCTCAAAATATGAACCTGTTGAAATCAGCGGCACCCTTACAGGTAGCTCCGACGATGGAGAAGAGGTCCCTGCTAAAACCAGGCATACCTAAGCCCAGGCTGCTGAAGTGAGACGCTATGAGCCAATAATGCATTTTAATGACAATACCCTCTGTTGTCCTCAGGGTGACCGTAAACTATGGTCGGCTCCACAAAATTCAGCCCCTCAAAAATTACCTCTCCCAGAAATTTGCAGATGTGTATACAAAACATCTACATAGATGAGTCCCTTGTACATTTTACTGGCAGGCTTGCAATAAAGCAATATCTCCCTAGCAAGTGTGCAGATATGGGGTCAAACTGTACAAGCTCCTTGAAAGGGCAACAGTCTATACATACCAATTTAGAATTTATGAGGGAAAAGACAATCAAGTGGAGGTCCCTGGATGCCCAGACTACATGGGAAACAGTGGCAAGATAGTGTGGGACTTGATGTCACGCTAGTCCTGAAAGGGGTACCATTTGTATGTGGACAGCTTTTATGTGAGCGTGCCACTTTTTAAGCATTTGTTAATTAAAGAACCTGGTTGGATGACTTTAATGTGACTTTAAAGTTACTTTAATGTTTTGAGAGATTGTTTCCAATCAAATGCCCAAACACCAAAGTATAAATCAAGGAAGGGTAAGGCTTTCTTCACACCAATATGCAGGTGTTATGACATGTGTTAGTACGTGTGCAACACAATGTTTTTTGGGCATTGAGGCTTGTCAAAAAGTATGTAAAGCCAAATTATATTGCATAAACACATTCGCTTAATTGTCTATGATAACAGTGCTAATTTTGTCACAGCAATCCCTTTTATTAAGAAATACCTGGAGATCCTGCCAGCCCCTCTGTTTTCCATGCTGGTATTGACAGTATGTGTGCTCGTCCATGCTACAAGGCACCATGCTGAAGCAAAGTATGCCTGTAGTTATCTTTGTTATCAGGCCCCCCCCCCACCCCTTATAATTGACATTGAGGAAACCCTTAGGGAACACAGGTTACACAGATAGGAAAAATGCCTTTGCTGCTGTGTCTGTCAACATTGAACCTCCCGCAGTTAGAAGAGGGGCAGAAAGGGAGGCTATGTGGTCACATGATTGGAGAATAAAGCATAACTTCACTAATGCTTTAGGAGGGCCCATTTAAACCAAATGGGCTGCCATAAAGTGACCCTATCATCACAGGGTCACTTCTAAACTAACCCAAAACAGAAAAAAAGAGCACTTATACCACTGTAGAACAAATTCCAGTTGTCATGACGACTAAATGCTTGCTTGCTCTGACAACCAGGTCATTGAAGTTTCTCTTTCCTCTCTCTCCCTGGCTATTTCCTGAAAATGGGTTATTCTTGTATTCCTCCTCTTTTCCATGGTGTACACAGACTTCTTCCTCATATGGCGCAAACATCAGTGGTAATTTTTACAAGTAATGATAGCATACGTTGTCAAACTGGCATCCGTTCCAACACAAAGTGGATGTGCAGGTTTTTGCCTTTTTTTGGCGTGAGGCAAGTTCCGCCCTCAGTTTGTGTGGACCTCGCTGGATGGTTTTATTAGGAGAGGCAGGGGGAGATATGACTTGCGACTGCCTCCAAAACTAACCCGTGAGACGACTTTTTTCTGTGACCAGGTAAGCACACCTCCACTTTTATTCCATAGGATCATGCCATCGGTTAATTTACACTTTTTGGTTGTTCAACTTGGCTTTCTACTTGTTTGCTTGCCCTCCCCACAGTCCTGTCACTCTTTCCTGTGAGGTGGACTCTTCCTTTTGATGGTGGAACAACCTCTTGTAGCAGAGTTTGGATTGAGTATCTCTACTTGCTGGTTTTATTAAAATGCTTTTTCAGTACACAGCACAATAATTTTTATTATATTTCCCACTTGAGTGGGGCACATGATATACTGGATTCTAGGTAGATATTTTTAGCACTGTACATAGTTCATTTACCTCTAGATGGATTTGGAAATTAACCCATTTGTTACACCAATATAGGATAGAAAAGGTCCATCCTGAGGAAGTTGAAGACTGCGAAACATGTTGACATGGGCCCCATAGTACCACTGTATTGTTTGGGTATTATGTCACGTGTTATTCACTTGTGGACCACATCCATAGGTTTTGTGTATGCTATGCCAATATCCAATTTCTGAAGGGTTTTAAAATGTGCATCTGTGTGTGCTAGTAGCTGCTGACCCAGTCACACTAGTTCTAAGTGTCTTGTTTGTGAATAGCTACTAAAGTGTGCATGTCTTTGTAGAAATAATCTGAACACAATTTTTTACTACTGGTAATGTATGTGCACAGGGGACACTATGTTTTATGTACATGTGTGTGTGTCAGCAAGGGCACTATGCATGAGTTGCATGCACGTGCATGCAAAGGGGACACTATGCATCAGTTACAAGTATGTGTGTGCATATAGGACACATTTAATATTATAAAGGATTTATATAGTGCCAACAGTTTCAATAGCATTTTACAATATAAGGGAGATGTTATAGTTACAATTCAGTTCAATACAGAAGGATTATAAGGGCCCTGCTCATGGAACTTACAATCTAAAAGGAAGGAGGTAGCAGTACAAAAGGTAATAGTTGTGGCAGATTGGCTAATGGAGATGGTCAAAATACAGTTTTAAAAGGTGGAGGTAGGGTAGGTTTCCCTGAATAGATAAGTTTTCAAGATTGCCTATATGCGGACAGGGTAGGAGATAACTGGGTAGATTAAGGTAGGAGTTCCAAATATGGGACAGGTTCTGGAAAAGTCCAGGAGGCAAGCATAGAAGGTGACGAGGCAGCTAGAGAGAAGGAGATCTTGGGACAAGCGGAGAGGACAATCTGGGCGATGTTGATGTAAGGTTGGTGGAAGCCAGTCCAGGGACTGGCAAAGAGGATCAGTTATTAAGGTGGATAAGTATAGCAGCAGCAGATAGATTGAACTGGGGATAACCTGTGTAGAGGAAGGCCAGTGAGAATGGAGTTGCAGTAGTCAAGGCAAGAGATAACCAGGGAGTGAATTAGTTTTGTTGTGTCGTTCGTTAAGAAGGCGTACATTTTGGAAATGTTTTAAAGATTAAAGCAGAGAGATTTAGCCAGTGACTGGATGTGGGGCTTTGAGGAGATGTCATAGTCTAGGATTACACATAGCACCCTAGCATGTGTGGAGCGAAGAATAGTTTAGCTCAACGGCAAAGTAAGGGAAGAAGGAAATAATATAAACTCACTTTTAGACAGACTGAATTCGAGAAAGTAGTGCGACATCCATACGGATATGTCACTCAGTAAATCAGTGATATGCGGGTAGATCAATGGGGGTGATCTGAGAAGTAGAGACACAGATCTGAATGTCGTCGGTGTCGAGGTTTTATTGCAAGCTGTGGGAGGTTATCAAATGGCCCAAGGAAGTGGTGTACAAAGAAAATAGATGGGGACCAAGGATAGCTTTGGGGTACCCCATCTGGAAGAGGAGGAGATATGGTTGTAAAGAACACTGAAGAAGCAATGATATAGGTAGGAAGAGAACCAGGAAATTAGAGTTTGAGGAGGAGCAGGTGGTTGACTGTATCAAAGGCAGCAGAAAGGTCTAAGTGTGTGAAGTATGGTGTAGTGGCTATTGGTTTTAGCAGTTAGTAAGTCATTAGTGCGTTTTAGTAGGGAAATTTTCATGAAATATTTTGGTTGCAAGCCATATTGAAGGGTGTCAAAAGGGTTATCAGCGTGGTAGCAACTCATATGGTTATGGACAGAGTTCAAGAAGTTTGGAGGCAAATGGCAGCAGAGAGATCAGTCTTAAGTTGTTCAAGCTGGTGGGGTACAGTGAGTATTGCGTAACCAGTGCATGTTTTAGAAGGGAGGGAAGTTTGCGTGTATATGCAGGGAACATTATGCGTTAGTTATGCGTGTGTGAGCAGGGGAAACTATGCATTAGTCATGTGTGTATTCACACAGGGGACACTCTGCATCAGTTATACAACATGTGTGCGCACTGGTGATACTGTGTATCAATACATGAGTGTGTGGGTGCAGGGGACATTACACATTAGCTGTGCGTGTGTGTCTGTATATACAAACACTTTCCAGCATAGAATACATGAAGCAGCTGCACCAACACGAAGGTAAGAGGGGTAATGTGGGTGCATACTTACAATAATAAAAAATGAATAGGAAAACTTTAATTAAGGAAATATCAGTGTTATTCAAATAATGCACAAAAACATATTGTCTATGTAAACAAAAAAAAAAAAAAAGAAAAAAAGAAGGACATGGAATCTACCAGTGCTACAGAAATCAATAAAGTAAAAATATTGAATAAAGCAAAAAAAAAAAATAGAAAAATATAGCGGTTTTAGTTTCCTAACCTTTACAGTAGTCAGCAGGGTCTTCTTGTTCCTCATCGTCTGATCCCAAAATCTCCTCCTCGGGCTCTGGAGGAGCTGGCTCAGGTATAGGTGGAGGTGGAGGGGGAGGTGGAGGAGCTGAGGGTGCCTTCTGCTGTGCCTCCGGCCTAGAATATGGAAAGATGCACTTAATTCACAGTAGACATAATATTTTATAATCAGTAAAACTAAAAATTGCAATTTAGGTGGACGGCAGTCATTTTAAAAACCAAAAAGTTATAACTAATATGACAAAAATGCACCTCAACTAAAAAAGATTAAAATTTTCTGTTATAGAGAACATTTAGAAATGTTATTTGTGTTGAAGCCGTAGCCTGAAAAAAATTCGATATTTTAAAATACTCTGTATAATACTTTTTGGTGCGTACAGTACTAGACACAGGTCTTTAATCAGAACAGATGTGTTATATGCTACAAGTGATTGGAAATTGGCAGCCCCTCAAAGCTTTTGGACACTCCTTTATACAACCCCTCCTGCCATGTCAATCTTAAATATGTAGCAGGCGATGAAGGACCAAAAGCACAGAGGGGAGAGTCCCATGTCCTGTACTATACTCCAAGAAAAGAATTTACAGGTATGTAAAAAACCCAGTTTTCTTTCTCGTACAGTACAGGACACAGGTCTTCACTCATAACAGGTAGAACATCCCAAAGCAGTATTTGAGGGAAGGAGAACTAATAAGCAACAAAAAAACTAAAGCCAAAGACATTGAAGAAAAACCCCAAAAGCCCAGGCCAGGCTGAGTTTAAGCTACAGCCTGCAAAACATCGCAGCCAAAACTGGCATCAGTTAAAGCCTGAACATCCACTTGGTAAAACTTAGCAAACATATTCACAGAACACCAGGTAGCAGCACTTCTGTGCAACAGAAGCTTGATGTTGAAACATGCAAGATGTGCAAACAGGACTAGTGGAATGAGCCTTAATCAGGAAAAGAGGTTCCTTATCCATGAGAGAATAGGCTTGAGAAATGATATGGTGAAGGACATTTAGAAGGACATAGGGAGGGCAACACAATATCCAGAAACCATCTTTGGTAAAAAGGAAAGATTCGGACCCAACATCACCTTATCATTCAGTATCACCAAAAAGGGTTCCTTACAGGACAAGGCAGTTGGCTTTGAAACCCTTCTGACAGAGGTAATAGCCACCAGAATAGCCATGCTATGGGTAAGATGGCTTGAAAGGGTGGTTTTTGTAGGACCAAAAGTATCAAGAGGCAGTCCCATGTCATCACTGGCATCTGATAAGGCAGGGAAATAAAGATCAAGTTCAAACAACATACAAAATACATGGGACTGTACCTGCATCCTGCCTAACCTACTAACATATGACCACTAAGCAGGAGCACTACAGTTCAGAGCGGATATCATAAGACGTCCTACCAGTCATGGGACATGCTGCAGAGCATTCTGTTTCCCACTGTGTCAACAGAACACAGCGGATTAAAGATATCTGTACAGGGCCAGCCCCTGCACCATACAATTGCTGTGACCAATCACAGATAACACATGACAATTGTACACAATGTATGACTTTCATTCATAGCCATTTATTGTGTACTATTGCGATGATCTCTGTGACTGGTCACAGTGATTGCATGGTACAGACAGGGCCAATCACAGTGCATTCATACCATATGATAACTGTGACCAATCACGGCTATCACAATAGTACACTATGAATGAATGGATGCCATTCAAAAAATAACTGGTTGTAACCATGACCATCACAGTTATGTGCTATCAGTGAAAACAAAGTAAAAAAAAAATTCTGGTCACTTCCTTAGAGTAGTACAGTGTCACTATGATAACACTGCACTGCTCTGGTCACAGTAAGTATAAAAAAAAAAATTACAAAAATTATATATTTAATTATTTTTTTACATACTGTCACCAGTCAGTGTCCTTGGTCACCACCACACCATTCATATGATGATGCTGTACTGCTCTGGTGCCAGTAAGCAAAAAAAAGTTTTATTTAATGTCTTCACTTTCAAAAAAAAAAAAAAGTGACAAAAAACTACAACTTCCAAAAACGTATGCCTTGCACTAAATACCATAGACTGTCTACTTTCCAAAAAGAGGTCATTTATGGGGTATTTGTACTGTCCTGGCATTTTAGGGAGTCAAGAAATGAGAGGCAATCCGTACATCAGGACTGATCTATTAAAAAAAATTACACACACACGGGAAAAAAATTATTTGATCACCTGCAGATTTTGTAGGTTTCCCCACTTACAAATAAATGAAGGGTCCATAATTTTTTATCATGTATTGTATTTTGCGTATTTTCAATGATCGAGACAGAATATTAACCAAAAATCATGATACAACTGTGGCTTGGTATCAAGAGATCCCTGAACTTTCCACTTCTTAATAGGCGATTTAACAGTACTGATTGGCATATTCAAGGCATTGGAAATCTTTTCATGTCCTTTTCCATCTTTATAAAGTTCCATTACCTTGTTACGCAGGACTTTTGACAGTTCTTTTCTGATCCCCATGGCTCAGTATCTAGCCTAGTCAGTGCTTCCACATAAGAGCTAACAAACTCATTGACTATTTATACACTAACACTAATTGCAATTTAAAAAGCAACAGATGTGGGACATTAACCTCTAATTGGCATTTTAACCTGTGTGTGTCACCTTGTGTGTCTGTACCAAGGCCAATCATTCCAGGGTATGTAAACTTTTGATCAGGGCCATTTGGATGATTTCTGTTATCATTATGATTTAAAAAGGAGCCAAACAACTATTTGATAATAAATGGCTTCATATGATCATCATCCTTCAATAAAAGAGCATTTTTTGGCATGATCAGTCATATTTTCAATATCAATGCCAAATTTCACAATTTCTACCAGGGTATGCAAACGTTTGAGCACAACTGTATATACACACCCACAATAGTTTGTTTTTGTTAAACTTTTGGTATTTGTTTCATTCATATACAGCCCCCTCCCCTCCCAAAAAAAAAAAAAAAAAAACCCAGCGGTGATTAAATACCACCAAAAGAAAGCTCTAACGGTCCAGAAATGTTTAAAAATTTTATTTGGGTAGTGTTGCATGACTAATTGTCAAAGTGTGACGGCGCTGAAAGCTGAAAATTGGCCTGGGCAGCAAGAGGGTGAAAGTGTACGTTTTTGCAGTGGTAACTATGCCCACCTGGGAATACCCAATAGTAATAATTGCTAAAGCAATTGCAGTTAAAATGTTACAAATGTTTTCTCTTCCCATACTTTCTCCACATCCCTCCACTTTACTGGGTGGCTATGGGCAATCAGGTTTACTTTCCCCACCGAGTTTTGGTGGTTGTGTATGATATTCATTTTAATTGATAATGTCATCTTTTTATAAATAGATCTTTATCTTTCAATAATATGTACCAGAAAGCGTATGTTCGAGTCCTGAAAAAGTAGAAATACTGCAAAATGCCTAGAAATTAGATTTAGCATATCTACCTTTCTATGCTCTTGTATTGTATATATCTGTTATTGCAAGTAGAAAGATCCTGTTTCCCTGCAGGAGCTGGGGATGACTTGTTTGAATGTGACTGAATATTATTTAATAAAAGTGTAATGTTTTCACGGCAATTGCTTTGGCAATAATGAGTATTAAGTATTCCCAGGCAGGCATTTTTAAAGTAACATGTAAATTGCGTGTTCTATGAACTAGTATAAATTGGGATGATGCCCCTTAGGGATATACTTGTAATTGATCCTACATACACTACTTTTTCATGGAAATATGAACAACTATCAGCTATGGGTCTCCAAATAGAATTGCCAGGGCATATGACCTTTCAGGGTATTCAAGGCCAATTTTTGATCCAGCCCTGATTGTAGGAAGGCAAGCAAATGACCCATGGAATATCACTGAGGGCGGAAGTTCCTCTGCTTACAATTCCACTCACAATGGTATACTATACACCATATAGCAATTTTTTCCTTGGGATATGCAAGAATCAATTTTGAAATGCCCCTTTCACTCAGGACCTGGACCCTTAATGGCTATGGAGTCAAAGTCAGCATCCATGAAGGAGGATGGTATATGAGACCTTGTGACAGAAAGTCTGGATGGCCTGAAAGAGGCAAGGGTGATTCTGTCAACATGCGCAGACTTTCTGAAAACCAAGCCTTTCCTGGCAAGATTGGAGCCACCAGAATCACCTTTCCACCTTGGTCCTGTGAAGCAGACATGGTAACATCTGAAGCATGGTAACAACTGAAGTGTTGGGGAAAGCATAAATCAGATGAAACTGAGCAGTGGGGAATGTATTAATCAGATCTCACAGAACCCCAAAGCGTATACCACCAGGGCTAGAGGATCCCTTCTTCTGGACACAAACCTGTAGGGAATTAAAGATGGCCTCCTCTCTGTTGAGAGACCTGGATTTCTGGAGGAGACTATCATCTTTTATTTACTAGAAAGAGGCATAATCTTTTTTGATGTGGGCATTTAAAGATTCCCCAAAAAGGCATTCACTTGCAAAAAGGCACTCTTTCCAGTCTTTCCTTACAATCTGGTGCAGCAGACCAACACGTTAGCCAGAGAATCCTCTACATTTGTACAGACAGAGGTACAATACGCAATAATCTATAAAGCGCATCACTCATGCCACCCACAGAATAGCATAAAGTCACTGGAAAGAATTGCAACTGATGTTGGGAGGAAGCACCATCTCTAATAGTGATACTTCTGGGGTCTGGCACATTGTTATGGCAACCACAATTAGCTGAGCAGTCAGTCCAGTTAGGGAAAATGAAGTTTTGGACAAAGCCTCAAAGTGTTTATCCTCAGAATCCCTGAAAATAAGGTAAATCCTCAGCCATAACAATGAGAGATTTTTGAGAGGCAAGAGATATCAGGGTCTGCCTCAGGAACAACCCATTTCTTGTAGAATTCCTTGTCCAAAAGGAATTATTGCACAAAACGCTCAAGAGGAATAAAACCCTTTCCCAGACGTTTCCAATCCTCATACAAAACATCCTTGCATAAAGCATGAACTGGAATGGTATTTGGAGTTTTTTTAGAGCCCATACTGGTCACTTTAGAACCCTCAGGCATTGCAAAGTCTAACTAAAGACATTTTGAAGACCTCCTCACTAAGTACTGAAATGGAAACGGACATCCTCTGCCA